TATTTATGAGAAAGTGCTTATTCTATGAGTAATTATGAAAAATTATGAGAAAATTTAATTAAAGAACCTACGAAATGACAGGATCTGCGCGCAATATGCAGCCAATCTGTCGTCAAAGTCTGTTCGCAGACCCTGTCAACAGTCTGGCGGCAGATTGGGGACGCAGATGTCTATGGATCTGTCGACAGATCCTGCTCGGATTCAACAGATCCTGTCGACAGTCTGACGTCAGTCTGCGCGCAGATTGCTTACTGGGCAGTTTATTTAAAAGGAACAAACTATTTAAAACTGCAATAATCCTGACTCGGAAAACTAATATTTCTTTATGATATATTTCCTTGATTCTATCTTCTTATCTTTAATTCTTCACAAAAATTATTGTCAGTACAGAGACAGATTTTGCAATTCGGGACTGTTAAAAATTTTTAATAAATTTAATAATAGATGTGCTGAGTGTAATACATAACACACGCAACTACAAAAGTGAACTATACTAAACATTAAACATACCTTAAATGTGTTAAAAACTTTTAACAATTAAATTGCAAAATCCGATTTTGCACTAACATCATTCTTACATGAAGAATAAGATAAAACCACGTACTGTTTTCCAGCGATTATCGTGATACCCAATCAAGAATACATGCTATCAGCGCAATCAACGCATCATCTATTGAGTAGAAATAACCAAATTAATCCTAAAAATAATAGTTAAATTCATTACCTTTACTGTAAAAATGTAACAATGTTATCATTACCGTTACAAAAAAATAACGATCATTACCAAAAAGAAGTAATGGTAACGACGCTACAAGTTACACGTTACTTTTGATATTTTTAGTTATCACAAACTATCTAATGGACTATATGTATTATAAATGACGTTAAAGTGTAGTCTGCAACAAATACACCTCTACATAAATGATTGCATAAATGATTGGGAAGCACTGATTGATCTGAAACATGAACAAAAAAAATATTTTTTAATTTATATGAGTTCGTGCATCAATTAAACTAGAAGTACTATTAAAAACTGGAAATTGAGAAAAAATGGCAGTCAAATACTTTCTTTTAATTACTAAAATTTTTATCTCCTTTTATATGCAAAAAATTATTGTAAATATTGCCTTTATCGTAGTTTACTTTTTGAAGAAACATGTTTTTTATAGGCATGTCCAATTATAAAGTGATTTCTTTAACAGCTTTTTAGTTATTACTTCCGCAAATTTGAAAAATATGTTTTTGAGGAACGAATTTAAAATTTAAATTTTGTTATTTTATATTTAACTATAGATTCTATCTATTTACATTTAACCAACTATTCCAGAGCCATAGACTCTGGATATCCCCTATCTCTTCGACCAAGCAATCTTCTGTAGCATTTTTTTTTTCATTTTTACGAGCCATTTTAGCCTCTTGTGACTTATATAAATTTCGACGTTCAACCACTTCTAATCGTTCAGCATCACGCTAATTGACGCTCAAAATTTTTAGCTTGAGAATTAATTTTTATTCCCAGTACTTTCATTGTTACTTGATTTGTTATAAGAATATAAATTCTTCATTAAAAGTACGGGTCACTAGAAAAGCAGCAGTTTTTATAATTTCTGAAATGAAAAAAATATACTTTAGAGTAAATAGTCACACCGCAGTAAGCTCGTATTGTTGTTTCAGATATAACCAAAGCTCTATATGATACTTCGTTCTAATAAATTTTAAGAAAAAAGATCGTGAATTGGTCAAAAACTTCCTTTTTACCCGGGCATCTTGTTTTCTACTTGCGCACTGCTTCAGTTTACAGTTTATAGCTCCAACAAATATCCGAATTTTTATTAAGAACATTATGAATATATTGTCAAGGCTTCAGATTTTTAAAATATATAAAACAAGAAAAATCGGTTTTTTAACTCTACAAGAAAAAATACCTGTTTAATGCTTCTTCACCGCGACCATCTTGATTTATGATGACCAAAAAATAAATGCTAAAAAATTCTTGTAAAATATGTTGAAATAAAATGTTCACAAAATGACGCAATCAATTGAATAAATCTGTAAAATAAATAAATAGTCCAAACACTTTTCTGTTGTGCGCTCTAATAATCAATAAATTACTGTAAAGTTAACGTGATAGAAATATAAGAAAATTTAAATTAAAAAAGTATATTGTATGTCACATATGTTAATTTTACGGCGATCTTTTGATTGTTAAAGCACGAGCAAAGTGTTCGTGGATTATTTTATAGATATACTCGATCGATTGCGTCATTTTGTGAACATAGCATTTCATTTCAACATATTCTGCAAGAATTTTTAGAATATATTTTCTCACTTCTGATTTTCTCACTTCAATTAAAAATTTCGTGGCGAATAATTAGGAGCATTTACTTCAGATGACTTTTATTTAAGAACAAAATATCTTGTCCCCTATATTAAAAAACGTGCACGCCATTCATATAAGGTCTTTTGTACGATTCGTCAGTCCGAATAATATCCAAATACCGCGAACAGTCGATAGTAGAAAACGTGGTTAGAATCGTACTCATGAACTGTGCTACCTACATGAACGTTTCCTGCGGACGATCCTTCCGGCGTACCTAGCGACTACACGAAAAGCACGTACCCATTTTGTGCCATCCAACCATCCCGCCCGTGCGTTTTCGTGACTGACGCCGATCAACGAGGTCGCAGCTTTCGTTGAAGTGTCGAACTGTAAAGGACAGAGAAAGAGAGTGTGTGTGTGTATGTGTTGTATGTGTGCATGTGTGCACACGCGCGCATAAGCTGGACGAGGAGATTGGGGGGAGCAGAAATTCTCGGTAACTTTCCCTCCTACGCACGAGTGGTCACGAGGGACGCAAGACGCGGCCTGAGTAGAGAAACGGTGGAGTGGATGTTAGCGATTGGATCAAGCGTGATTTTTCAGTAGTTACGATTTAATCGCCGATAACGTGCCTCCGTGTTCATCCTGCCGTCCGTCCACCCTCCCGCCTTCCTCTGACCTAGCATAGAGATTACGCACGTCGTATTTCAAGTTAAGATCATCGTCGCTCGAGTTGCATCTCGCACACGCCTCTTCAGACTGCCGCCAACAAACAGCTCGACTCGAGGTGATATTTTTTCACATGATTCAACGTGGTTTAGAGATCAAATGTGATGATGTATTGAGAAAAAATTCTTGAAAATTTATTCGTGGAATATCAAGTTTATCGATAACAATAAAGTTTGTTTCTATAAAATAAACTAATATATCCAAAAAGTAAAATTTTAAATATTGTTTTCTCAATGTATCGAATTTTATCAAACGAATCAAAGTAAACTTGAATGATCGTTGCTCAAACGATCCTTCGCTTGAAAGAAGCTTCAATTTTGAACGAAGAATGATACAAGAGAGAGAGTCAAAGCAGACCTGAACAATGATTTGTTCTCGGATCGTTAATCTTGTGTTTAAAAGCGTAAATATGATTATCTCAGTTAGACATTACTAATCCTTTAAAGCATTTCTAAACAAACCAGGTGCTATATTCTATATACATTTACCGATAACTATCGGTTCAATATGTGTCGTTTTGCGCAGCTATTTTATAATATAATTATATCTGCGCAAACTGAACCAATAGTTATCAGTAAATGTGTACAGAATACAGTCCCAGGTCAGATTTTTGTTAGCTATCTTCAGGTATATATCGTCACAAGCTATATCTGTTATTCAAACTCTTAGTCCGTCTTTAATATTGATTTCGAAACTTTATTGCATAAAATACTCCTTAACAAGTTTAAACTTTCTCGAATCCTTCGACAGGATTCATATTCCAAAACGCTAGTAATGTGCTAAACGGTTATTTTTACTAAACGGTTATAACAGTTACTGTTACTTTAAAATAATTATTAGTTAATAGTTCTAGTTATTTAAACAGTTGTTCGGTTAAATGGTTACTAACAGTTTACTAATGTTAGCAGACAAATTAATCGGTTAGTCAGGTCAACGTATTAAGTTGTTATTGCTCTTGTGAATAATTATCCGAACTTGAAACATTATATTATTACGCAAAAACTAATAACTAATAACTAATAAACAGTTAAGGCATAATCTTTAATCGTTGTTGTTTGACATTTATTCAGTTACCAATTAGAGAGTTCATTTCTGGACAAAGAAATTATTATGACATTGTTTAAAATGGATTCCCCAATTACTGCTCTGCAGAGAACAAGAGGGAATAAGTTGCAAACGATTAGTCAGTTAACAGATAAACAATTAATTTGTGTCTTCAAATTTTATAACATTTACTAAAGTTATTTTTCGACAGCGAAAAATAACTTTACTTAGTAATAAATATATAACGTATTTATTACTACTAAATGCTCTTAGCACACCGTAAATTTTTCTGAAGTCTGAAAGATTGGCTCTTTTGTTATATTTTTCTTTCGTCGTGTCGCACTATCTCATTATATTTACCATTATTTTTGCGTATTATTACAGTGCGTATTGAAAATATTCAACGATGTACATATACTTGGTTTCTTTCTGGTCCCGTAATGCGTTTTCTGACAGACGCAACGGGGAATCGGATCGGTCCCATCGATACGGGCCCCGCTAGCAACCTTTCTAATCCGTTGAACGAGTTGATGTTTTCGCTTTAGCTAGTAGATAGTAACAGACATACTGCCTAGCAGAAGGGGCAAGGACGACCGAGGCCGACTAAGGCTCGCCTGCGTCGCCAGTCGCATGCAAGGAAGTCAACTTGGGAGAGAAAGAGAGAGAGAGAAAAAGAATACGTGTGTATGTTGCGCGTAGTGAGAAGAAGAAAGAGCGAGAGAGAGAGAAAAGAGGAAAGGTAAAAGAGAGAGGAAGGAGAGACCGATTGGCGGACTAAACAGCAACGACCGCACGCTCGCATTTGTGTGCGTGCGGTTGCATGATGCCACCGACACCGGATCTTGAGGAGTCGTACAGGTAGGAGATGTGGGATTTTGTGAAGCGTATATTGCGTTGCGAAGGGGGAAGGGGGAATCCTTTCAACGCGAGAGATCACACTAGTGGTCTGTTCTTTTCAGCTGCACTGCTGAACTGGTGCAATAAGTTAGAGTGAGAAAACATATACTTGTCTCACTTTAACTTATTGCATCAGTTCAGCAGTGCAACTGAAAAGAACAGACCATAGGTTAGAAAATACTAGCACTAAAGTTAAATTTCGTGATTTAACGTCACGATTAGAACAAAATCGATATTTCGGGATTTTCCATGTACTCTCTCCTTTGTCATCTTCAATTAAATACGAAGAACTGATTCAGTGATTCGATTAACCTTGAGTTATCCGCGTGAGAGAAAGAAAGAAAGAGAGAGTCTCTATTAAATATACTTAATATACAAACATAAAAAGATTTTCATGCAGTTTCAAATTCAAGGGGGAGGAGGAAAGGAGGTTATTAAAAATAAATCATTTTTTATCCACTGATTGAACCTTAACTAATCATTAGAAATTGTTTCTGAAACTTCTCAAAACAGAAAATAACTATTAGTCTATCAAATTCAAGAAAATTTATAAAAATTGAGATTTATTATTGATAGTTGAAATAATTATATAATTTTTTTAAGATATGTATCTTTGATGTGTCTTTAAAATAAAATTAATTGCTTATTTATGTTTTATGAGAGGTAAGTACTAAAGAATTTTAGTTTTTAGTTTTATATAATATATACATATTTAGAGTTTTTGATCTTCAATGTTAAGTTTTTCTCAATTTGATACTTCGATATTTCAGCGTTCAATTATTAATATTAATAAAATATGATGAATTACTACATGAAAACGTCTCAGTTAGCATATACCGTTTAGAAACGTGTGGGAAACATTTTACAAACGGTTATGAAATGGTATATACGTTTAGAAAACATATGTGAAACCAATATATGCTACTAAGGATAATGTGCCCCAACTATAAATATAGAAAATAACAAATTGATATAAGACACTGACATAAGACATAATTAATTAAAAAGAATTTTTTTTCTTATTCAAAATATCTGAACATTATAATTTTACATAATATATTTATCACACAATTACTTGTGTAATAAATATTTACACATATACGTACTTGGTTAAGTATATTGATCTCACTTCTTTTTTTAAATTAAATTAATTTAAAACATCTGTACTTTGTTTAAGTTAATATGTACTTTTCGTTTTTGTTTTGATAATTTTTGTAGTTTTGATAATTTTTGTTTTTTTAAACTATTCAAGAGCCAAATTATCAGAACACATTATATTATATATTATTGGAAATTATTGATTAATTATTTGCTTTTTTCTGATAAAAATGACTTTTTTACTACAGCCATAAGAAAGTTATGAATGTCTGGATAGCTTAATATAATAGCTATCCAGAAAGCTATTAGAAAAAACATATACGCACAATTCAAAGCATAAAATCAATAAAATGCACAAATTATTTGTTATTTTTCACTTACTATGTATAAAAGAATAAAATCATTTTTCTCGAATTATTAAATTGATACATCAATTGATAAAACATCATCTCATCCGACGAAGCTACAGGAGCAAACAACATTTAAACAACTAGTTGCCCACATGTTTATAGCATCAAAATTTTCTCTGAATTATTTTTATTTTTCCAAATATCCAAGTCCAAAATTTTTTGTTCGCGAAATAAATTTATAGAACTAAAACACCTAGCCAAACCGAAGCTACAAAAGTAAGTGTATTCAAGAAATTAGTTTCTCACATAATTATGGTATTAGAATGTTCTTCATTATTTGCTTTCAAGATATCCAAATCTCAAGTTTTTTGCTCATAAAATAAATTTAAGAAAAAACGTTAAAAACATTATTTAAGACAAAATGCTATCCAACAAAATAAAGTCCTACAAGACTATAAAGTATATTAAAGAAATTAGTTTCTTGCACCAGTATGGTACCAAAATGTTCTCTGAATTATTTGCTTTAAAAATATGTAAATCCTGAATTTTTTACACAGGAAATAAATTTAAAAAATGAAAAAATGTCATCCAACCAAATTTAAATTACAGAGAAGTGAAGTGCGTTAAAAAAATTAATTAAACGCACGACTATAAAGCACCATAATATTGTCTAGATTATTTGCCTTCAAAATATTCAAGTTACGAAATTCTTGCTCGCGAAATAAATTTAAGAAATAACAAAATACCATTTAGCCAAATCAAAACTACAAAAGTGAATTGCATCCGTTTTGTAAGAGACGAAAGGACTCACCCAAAAAAAGCATCTCGTTTTATTAGTGGCGAAAGAACTCATTCTAAAAAAGCACGCCGATATGGAGTTTAAAACTTTCTTGAGGTAAATTATGGAAACATATTTTTATAGGCTAACTACTTTTGACGATCCTTGTTTAAATGTTTTATTTAAATAGAATGTCAATATTGTTTTTAACTGTTTTTCACAAAATAGATTTTCAATTATTTCATTTCATTATCATAGCAATTCATCATAGTATTGTCATAGCAATCGTAATTTCATTAAAGCTTAACTTTTTGGAAAAGCGCATAAAATAAATGTACAAATAAAAATGAAATATAAATTTTCTGTAACATTGTCGTAAAATAATTCAGGAAGCCAGCATAAAAACTAGACATACTTTCGATGTACGCGACTAAAGCGAGTGTGCTATGAAAACGTAGTGCCGCGCCGCTTGCATGATTTTTATCATTTTT